ATCATCTTCAACTTCCCACCAACAAATCTACCAATCTCCTTGCAACTGAACCATATACTTTGTCCCACTCCCATTAAATTAGATGAACTCTCTCTCAAAGGCCAAGCCATTCATTTGTACATTGTATCACTTCTCAAGTACTTTGTTCTTGGAATTACCCCTTCTACCTCCTCTACTAGATAACTCCTATTAGCATCCAACAGGGTATAACATCTATTATTTTTAAAACCTTTTAATCCATATCTGCCTCCTCCTATTACTGTATTGCTTTGTTCTTTGTATAGTAAAATTCCTCAAAAAAGTGTCCATCCTGATGTCTTCTTACCCCATCCCCACTGTGTATTTTATTTCATTGCTTAAACAATGAGGAGATATTAATATACATATATATGTATATACATATGTCATATACATATATATGTGTGTAATATATGTATACATATATGTATGTATAACTTCATATGTAAAAGATAACAGAAAACCAGTTTTAATATCGCAAAAAGAATAAAATACAACAAGCACCTGTATTTCGCCACTCAGTTTAAGGTTAGAACATTTCTGGTAACTATGACGTTTACTCTGTTATCTTCCAATCCTTTCCCTTACTCCTTAGCTTTATTGAATTATAACTGTGTATGTTTAAGGTGTACAACATGATGATTTGGTATGCACATGTACTGTGAAACAATCATAATAAGGTTACTTACATCTCAGTCACCTCACATAGTTAGCTTTGTGTGAGTGTGTTGAGAAAATGTAAGGTCTTCTCTCCTGGCAACCTTCAAGCATGTGATACAGTAGCGTTCGCTTTAATCGCCATACTGTACATTAGATCCCCAGAACTTGTTCACCTTGTAACTGGAAGTTTGTACCTTTGGCTGGCATCTCCCCATTTTCCCCACGCCCTAACAACCCTCAATCTATTCTTATGTCCATGAGTTCAGTTTTTATCTTTTTTTTTTTTCCTTAGATTTCACATATGAGTGAGGTTATACCTTCTCTTTGAATTAACTTCACTTACTCAGGGTTCATCCCTGTTGTTGAAAATGGCAGGATTTCCTCCTTTTTTATGGCTGAGCAATATTCATATATATATATATATATATATATATATATATATATATACACACACATATATGTATAATTTCATATGTAAAAGATAACAGAAAACCAGTTTTAATATGCAAGAACTTAAAAATATATCCAAGCCATTTTAAAAATATTTATGCAAATATGTTTAACATGAAAATTAAGAAATTTAGGAAGATAAAATTATTGTGTGAAGATTGATGGTAAGCCTTAAAGACAGTTAAACATCAAGGTAAATGAATGTAATTGTGGATATGAAACCAGATTAAGAATAGTTACTTAATATAATTAATTAAATCTAATCCTTAAGATTATATTAATAATGACAGTAAGTAAGAAGGAGTGTGGAGGATTACATATTACAAAGAGAAAAACAAAAGATATAAGTCTTGGATTTGACAGTTAAGCAAAATATAGTTTAAGAATGTTAAAAATACCTACAAGACTCCATAGGCAGCAAAATTGCAGAAATATGTCATAGGAATATCTTTACCAACACAGCTCCTAGGGCAATGGAGACTAAGGAGAAAATAAACAAATGGGACTACATCAAAATAAAAAGCTTCTGAACATCAAAAGAAACCATAAACAAAACAACAAGAAAGCCCACTGCATGGGAGAACATATTTGCCAATGTTATCTCGTATAAGGGTTTAATCTCCAACATTTACAGGGAACTCATACAACTTAACAAAAGGAAGATAAACAATTCAATCAAAAAATGGGCAAAGGACCTAAATAGACACTTTTCAAAAGAGGACATACAGAAGGCTGAAAGACATATGAAAACATGCTCAAAGTCACTAATCATCCGAGAGATGCAAATCAAAACAACAATGAGGTACCATCTCACACCTGTCAGAATGGCTATCAACAAATAAACAAACAACAAGTGCTGGCGAGGAGGTGGAGAAAAAGGAACACTCGTGCACTGCTGTTGGGAATGCAGACTGGTGCAGCCACTGTGGAGAACAGTATGGAGTTTCCTCAAAAAGTTAAAAATGGAACTCCCATTTGACCCAGTAATCCCACTTCTAGGAATATATCCCAAGAAACCAGAAACACCAATCAGAAAGGAGATATGCACCCCTATGTTCATAGCAGCACAATTTAAAATTGCTAAGATTTGGAAACAACCCAAGTGCCCATCAGCAGATGAGTGGATTAAAAAACTGTGGTACATCTACACAATGGAATACTATGCTGCTGTAAAAAAGAAGGAACTTTTTACCATTTGCAACAGCATGGATGGAACTGGAGAGCATTATGCTAAGCGAAATAAGCCAGTCAGAGAAAGATAAATATTACATGATCTCACTCATATGTGGGATATAATGATCAACATAACCTGATAAACAAAAACAGATCCAGAGACAAATGGCAGGGGAAGTCGGGAGGGAGGGGGGATTAGAGATCAACCAAAGGACTTGTACGCATGCATATTAGCATAACCAATGGACACAGACACTGGAGCGGTGGGGGGGGGGGGGGTCAATCGAGAAAAAGGGAGACATATGTAAAACTTTAGACAATAAAAAATTAAAAATAACCACTTATGGAATTAGAACAGCATCTTCCATATCACTTGGTAAAAATTAAAAAACACACAAGATATTATCCAGAGGAATGAAAGAATACAAATTACTAAAAGGTAGCAAATCCTCTGAAAACATAAGATAATTAATTATATAAAATCACACAGGTCAGAGATTTCAATAAATGTGTTGTAATCCTTGTTGAAGGACAAATAATCTCCTTTATTAGCTAAAAGATAAGAATTTTATCTTATCATGCTACCTGTTATTGTTATGCTAGTGCACAATTCTAATTTATTTTCTTCATGGTACTTATCACTAGGAGAATTACTGCATTTGTTTATTGTCTTATTCATACCTGTAATGTCGGAGCTCAATAAATATGTGTCATATCAATCAGTGAAATATGAATAAATAAATGAATACTACAAATCTCAAAGACAGATTAAATATAAAAGTAAGCAAGAAGCAGAGATTACAATAAAAATATTATTTAAAAATAACAGCAAAATACTTTGAAAATATGGAGAAGATATTTTTGTTGTTAAGACAAAATCCATAATGAAATTTAAAAGTCACAAAACTTATTACATCAAATACCAAGATCAACATATACAAAACAAAAACATAGAAATATGGGCAGCCGTAACCGGTTTGGCTCAGTGGATAGAGTGTTGGCCTGCGGAATGAAAGGTCCCAAGTTCGATTCCGGTCAAGGGCATGTACCTTGGTTGCAGGCACATCTCTAGTAGGGAGTGTGCAGGAGGCAGCTGATCGATGTTTCTCTCATCGATGTTTCTAACTATCTCTCTCCCTTCCTCTCTGTAAAAAATCAATAAGATATATATTTTTTTAAAAATACAGGCAGAAATTACAGAATTACAGTGAAGATGAGTGACTAATATACTTCTAATAATTTACTCTCTTGAATGTATATGTATTTTATATGCATAAAAATAACTTTGTACCCAACGAAGTATTTTCTATGTAGGCACATATTGCTTAGTCAGAAAATAATCATTACTAAAAAGTACTTATTAGATTCCATTGGGAAAAAACCTTTGACAAGCTTTTTTGCTTAAAAGCTACTAGAAAGCTAATTCGAGGAACTGAAATAAAAAATTGGAATAGATATAAATTTAGATGTAAAAAAATGTTAAGTTTAAGTATCTGGAAAACATTACTAAGTCTGGTCTAACATTTTTTTGTGAATATCAGAGTTATCTAATACCTCCTAAGTAATACAGCCTCAAACAGGCAAATTACAGGAAGATCTCTGACGCCTGAATGAGTGGCCAGAAAAACGGGAAGAAAGCTTTCTGAAGGCACCAGCACATTACAGTTCTACAGCCACATGTTAAATAATGGTAACTTCCCTGCACACAACTGCTAAATGTGAATTCAGAATGCCGTGTGCATTGCCTATATGCTATGCCTTGAGAAACAAAAGAGAAAGAACAAAGGTAATGTTTACTGAGCAAATAGGTATTGTTCGGATATGTAACTGCATTTAATAATCAGTGCCTAAAAGTATGGCTACGTTCATTCATTTAACAGATACTTCCTGAGCACTTCCACTATTGCCAGGCATTGCTGTAAGCACTTGGAAGGACCTACAACAAAATTGGGTGAAATATATTGTATAGCAGTAGATGGTGATAGGCACTATGAAGAAAATAAGCAGAAAGGAGAGATGGAGAATACACTTTTAAATAAAGTTAGTCAGGAGAGGCTTTCCTGAGAAGATGGTCACCTGTAGGAGATGAGGGGAGGGTGTTCCCGGCCAGGACAACAAACACAAAGGCTCTGAGGCAGGAAGCAGTGGGGTGGAACAGTGAACAGAAATGGGAGTATGACAGATAAGGCTACGGGGAGACCAGACTAAGTAGGCCCTTGGAGGTTTGACTTGAACTTGAAAGTGATCTGCCTTGTGTTTGAAAAAAAATTTCTGTGTCCTTTGCATAGTTGAGAATAGACTACTGTGAATGAAAAGGGGGCTCTATGGAAGCTATCCTCACACGGTGGGTAGCCATGCCCCAGACATATACTTTTTTTAGTAAAAGGTTTATCTTTGCCTTAAGCAAGCCCTGTCCATTGTTTCTATGCACCTAGTTTAATACACCGTTGGAATGCTTCTTTTCAGACCCCTCAAGAAAAACCACCCTCTGGAGAGCACATACTGTTGTTGACTATCCTGTAATACAAACCCTGCCTTTGTTCCTTCCGCCTTCCTTACACCTCCCTCCTCAATTCCAAATGCATTACGGATGCTGCAGACTGCTATTCTAGGAAGCATTTTTCTCAGTCTGTTGAGATCTTGCTTCCAGGTGTACCCTTTGTTTGGCTCTAATACATTTTTATAAAATTTCTCTACAGGTTTGGACACTGTTACATTGACACTGCTGAGCAGCAACAATGGAGGAGAGAGTTAGGAAGCTACTACAGGAATCCAGGGACGAGAGAAATGGTTGCTTAGACCTGGATGACAGTGAAAGAGGGAAGAAGTGATGGATTCTGGATGGTATAGAATTTGCTGATCAATTGGATGTAGGTATGAGAGACAAGAGGAGCCAGCATAACTCCAAAGATTCAGCATGAGCAACTGGATATATTTTCAATATTTGCATTTTACAGGAAAGGTAACTAGGTATTATTCCAAAGCGTCTGGTCTTCCCACAATGTTTCATTACTTGAGGAAAAACGCAACTGAAATTATGTGCATAAAGCATTATCACACAGATTATAGACTTTTCATTTTACAAATGAAGGTTTAATAATTGGTAATATCACCCTGACTCATGGGATTTATTGTTCAATAATAAATTATTGACACATGGTACAGGCTGGAAAGAGGATAGGAAATTTACAGATGACAGAATCATACCAGGTTATCTAGGGACACTTGGGTAGAGCTCCACATTCTTGAGGCTGATGGCATGATAAATTATCCATAGAATCTCCTTGGAAACCAATGTTTGACAGAAGGAGATGGAGAACAGACTTTCTTGTGATGAGAGAGGCAAACACCGTTTTGCTCTGGCTTCTTCATTTCAACTGTTTCAAATAGAAACTTGAAAAAGTAATTACAAAGATACTTCTAAGAGCTGTGTTTTGGACAGTCAGCATATATTATACCTTTCCAATTAGTTTTCCATACTGTAAAGATTAACAGGCTCCAGGAAAGGTATTTAATTCCTTCAAGCTTTCTCTTTATGTTGTTTCATATGTCCCTGCAATGTAAGTTGATGTTGTTGAGAGAAGATGTAATTCTTTCCCACTCTTCTTATTGGAAACATTACATTGGACTTACAGAATCAATCTTCTATCTGGTGTTCTTTGTCTAGACCAGCGGTTCTCAACCTGTGGGTCGCGACCCCTTTGGCGGTCAAACGACCCTTTCACAGGGGTCGACTAAGACCATCCTGCATATCAGATATTTACATTACGATTCATAACAGTAGCAACATTACAGTTATGAAGTAGCAACGAAAAATAATTTTTTATGGTTGGGTCACAACATGAGGAACTGTATTTAAAGGGCCAGAAGGTTGAGAACCACTGGTCTAGACACATGAACATGCCATGAGATGGTAATTCCCAACAGTTAGTTCTCTTACACCTGCCCCCTCCCTGGACATCCCTATTTCAGTAAAAAGTACATCTCTCTTTCTTCCCAGTCACCTTGACCCAGCCAGCTCCTTCCTGTCCTTCACCTCTATCTCAGGACAGTGCCAATATCAAAAATACTAACTCTGCAGGATGCCTCATGTGTATAAGAACTCTCACTCCCAATGCTAACAGGCCAGGAACAGCTCTGGTCTGTCCCCACTGCACTTGATTGGCATGCTGGGGCCGGCTTCACTTTAAAGCCTGGCTCCGGTCATATCATGCTTTCAAAACCCTGTACTGGCTTCATGTTGCACTCTTCCACCTGCGTGTCAGGGCCCTCCACAGTGTGGCTCCAAGCTGCCTTTCCAGTCTTATCTCCTGGCACTTCCCTTTCAAGGTCACTCCAACTCTAGCAAAACCACTCTTCCCAGAACCTGCCTCCGTTTCAGAAGCTCAGGCCTTGGCTCACACAGAAACGTTCCCTCTTGTCTATCAAAAGCTGACCTATCCTCCTGGTCCTCTCTCCAGTGGGGCTCATAAGAAGCTCCAGCTGTTGCCCCCGATCCTGTTATCCTCACCCAGTGTGCACAGTACTTAATGCAGCCTGCAGGCCTGAGCCCCTTTCTTATCTTCAACACGTATTCCAAGCTCCTAGAAGGTGACAAATGTGCTTTGCTCATCTCGCAGTCGCCCATGGTGGAGGGATGGTGCCTCACACAAAGTCAAGTTCAGGGATTATCAGTGCCCCGGAGTGTTAAAGAGTGGCGATGTCTTAAACCAGGCTGTTTTTAAACTTGACCATTAAAAGCCATGAACATTTCCCTTTCACTTCATAACAGGATATCAGTGGAGACAAACGGATATAAGCATGTCTTCCCGGCCTCTTCAGTGTTCTTCCTACTCTTCTGTATAAATAGAGTTTACATTATGGTGATTAAAAGTCCCCTGTAAAACGGTGTCACGAGCCATATCTGGGAAGGGAGGATCAGTGCTAATCTGTTCCTTACTCACTATTGACTAAGGGGAACATGAGATGGTATGTTTGGATCAGAGACAGAAAGGAAATGGAGTTTTCAAGGGAGAAGAAAAAAATTACAAAAGAAAAACCTGTTTCACAAAATGCAGTCTGTGGAAAATCTTTCAGCTGAATGTCAAGATTAAGAAAAATCAATAAAACCTTTGAAACCAGAACTATGTGAAAGGCTTTTTTAGGCTTGATGGCAAAAATACAAAGCTATGGCTTCAAAAAAGTAAAATCTTCCAGAAACTGCAAAAGCAGTTCTTCAATATTCAGGAGACTCCATGACCCCCAAACATGTTCAGCACAAATTGCTTATTACAGAGATAGGGCCAGTCCAGATTCAAAGGGCCAGCGTTTTCAAAGGGACTTTCACCAAGGCTGTAATTAGTTGTTCTGGCAAAACTGCACACACGTCTAATTGCACATACAATTGGCTAATTGTATCTTCAAAATAAAGGGTAAAGGGTTAATTGTATCCACATCTGGCCACAAAGAAAGAGACTGTCCTTTGAAAATATGACACTCCACTTAGATGAAAATTTGCATTAAACAACCATCCCTATTACTAATAATAATTATAATAATACCACATGCTTACAAATTAATAAATACCTTTCATCGTGATCCTAAAAACACTTCACAAACATTAATTAATCTCACAATACTCCTACGCGGTATGAAAAGCGATTATCCCAACGGTGTCAATGAGGAAATCCAGGCAAGTTAGGTAACTGTGGAAAGCCACTGAGGGAACTGCAGCTCCCAGCCCCCAGCTCTGTACACTGGCCCCGGTCACCAGGGAGGTTCAGTGGGGAGTCTGGTTCACAGAATCAGCGAAAATGAGCCTAAAACCAAGGCAAAACTCAGTCATCAAAATTTCCAGAGTCAAAACTGGCCTGGGATTCAGAGACTACCTTGACTTCTTTCATTCAAAGAAACATACAGTGCATCAAGGATGGCGCTAACAATTGGTTTAATTTTATGATCAAATATTTCAGATCATTTTTAAAAAGTACAGGTCACTACAACTCTAGCAAAACCAACCACTCTTCCCAGAACCTGCCTCCGTTTCAACAGCTCAGGCCTTGACTTACACAAAATGCATCCCCAATGATTGGTTCTTTCAAAAATATGTAAGAAGAAGTAGTCTCTGTAAGAGATGGGTGCTTGGGATGTTCTGGCTACAGCAGCTCTGAGAAGAGGACATAGGGCACGAGGTAAGGGACTGAAATGTAGTAAAAGTAGTGTTACCTCAATTCAAATCGCCAGTCAGGAGCATACAATTTATACCAGCCCAGAATAGCTAACTTAACACAAATTAATTCCTTATAAATACACATGTACTATGTCATTAGTACTTGTGTAACCTTAATACCTTCTTTAAGAATGAAATATGAAGGTCCATTTCTAACAACAAAAAAATATACATTTCAAAGACTGATTTATTTATTTTTAATAATTAAAGCAAATGTTCTCGTATCCACACCAGAAATGTTTGGATGATTTTCTTATTCATCAGAACTGATGATAAATTCTCTATGCAGATATTTATAAAGATGTGGAGAGATGAAAATGCTCCCTCGATTCAATTCCCTTTTCCATGAAGACACATGCTGGAACACCAAGGTGAGCAAGACAGTGCCTGCTTTCACAGACGCAGGTCTATGCATTTCCTCATCATCACCCAAACCCTACCAAAGCTCTTCCTTCCAGGGTTTTGAAGCAATATCCAATAGAAGAAGAGAGAAAGTCAGGGACAAGGAAAACAGAAACCAAATATGCTGGAACTAGGAATCAGTATGACTGTTTCTACACTTCAAAGATGGCTCAAAGTTACTGATCACCCAGAGCAATAAAAGACAGACACACATCTTACAAAAGAAAGTGGGGAAAGAGAGAGAACGAGATACTGGAATATAGAACAAAGTTTTTAAGAATGCCTACTAGAGGTAAAAATCAATATAGTGTTGGAGGGCCTAAAACGGAGAACTGACTTCTGCCCCAGCGTGGGGAGGTGGGGGAAAGTCACTTCTGGGCTGGGCTTGAAGGTCAGGGCTGAGCCCCATCGTGGCTGCTGCAGAAAGGGCATTCCACACTCAATACAGGAGGCAGGTTTGGGAAGGGGAGGTAGATTTGAGCCCCGAGTACAAGCTGGAATGCAGTCCTAGACGGGCCTGGCAAGAACTCCAGCCCCACTGGCAAATGCCATGCTAAAGTACAGGTAACACTAGATGTTTGAGGGGGGAGGGGAAGGTGGGAATACAACTTTTTCTTCCTTTTTTTTTCCTTCTAAGTATAAACCCTTGACACCATGTGAAGAATGGACCAGGAAGGCAAAAGTCAGGAGGAAGAAAGATCTCCGGAAGCTCTGTCACAAATCAGATGAGGGATGATAAGGGCTCATCGCTGGCCCTGGCATAGCAGAGGTAAAGGAAAGGACAAACAAGAGATTCTGACAGGACTCGGTGAATAATTAAATGTCAGGGAAAAGATGAGTCGTGCATGACTGGAGCCTCTAAATCTACCTGACCGTGGATTCCCAGAGGGTGGATACGGCATGTTTTTCTACCGTTTTATTAGGGCCAGTGTCAATAAAATTAACATATACCTGTTTGTCGTACTATTTTCCACCAGTGAAAAGTATGCAATATTGTTCTTAAAAATCTTTAAAATAAAAATAATCAATCCCCAGAAGGAAAGTAGGGGAGGGCGGGGGTAAGGGGAAGAGATGAACCGAAGGACTTGTATACATGTATATAAGCCATACCAATGGACATGGACAACAGGGGGGATGGGAGCATGAGTGTGTGTGGGGGGGAGGTTGGGGGTTAATGGGGGGGATGAGGACACATTTGTAATACCTTAACTAATAAAAAAATAAAAAATAAAAAAAAAAAATAAAAAAAATAAAAAAAAATAAAAATAGAATGTGCTGTCAACCATGGTATGAGACTGGTTATGTTTCTAGCTCAGGTTTCAGCATTTTCCTTTTCTCCTTATTTACATTTATAAAAAAGAAAGGAGCTTTTATTTTGTTTCCAGAGATGGATATGATTTGCCCTCTCTAAGTGTCTTCGCATCCTCCTCCCACATGGCCGGGGATAATGCAAAACTATGATCAAAAGTAAATGCTTAAAAACTACTTGCTGAATGAACACATTTAAAATTAAAGTCAAATAGACATCACCTGTTCCCCAAAGCTGTGGACAGTGATTGCTGTTAGTATCTGACTGTTAAACGCAGGTGTGTAGGGAATTTCTGGTGTTCATTAAATGACAATTTTAAAATGTCATCAGGAAAACTGTATATCCCAAATAATTTACTCTTATCACCCAATGTGTTGCTATGAAAAACTACTTGCTGCTCCACCAAAGCCAAGTCCTCATTAGTGCCGGTGCTAAAAATTGCCATAGATACAACAGGAAAATGTTTGGGAGACACTGCCATGCTCCTGGGTCTCCGTAGAAAGTGGCATGACTGTACGGTCAATATAATGCAATTAGAATGTTACCCTTTACAATAGTGGTCCACCTCTGTGTTTTGAAGGAAAACCACTGATTTTTATCTATCCTAATTAAAAAAATATTGTCAGTGACCTCTAACACATGCAAAATAGAGGTCAAGCTTTTAGATTTGATATTCAGCTCCCAGATGATCCGGACCAATTGACTCCTAGTCACAATTCTCTCTAGGCTGGTCGTGATGCCTGCAGAGTAAGGGTTGGTAGCACTGATTGTGCAAGGGTGGAGCAGGAGGAGGAGGAGCCCTGGGAGGCGAGGGTTCAGGGAGGCTTCATGGGCTAGGAAGGCAGGGTGGAGGGCAAGACAGGTCAGGGGCTATATCCTTTCCTTCCTAGATCAAAGCCTTAGTGGCAAGCCCTCAGCCTTGCACGTGTGAGCATGTGTGTGTACACACAGAGGTCAGTGGGAGGGGTCCCTGGGGGTAGACCTAACTGCTGTGAGCTCAGAACCAGGGGCTCTGGGAAGCCCTAGGCAGAGCTGTGGCCCCGATTCTGACTCAGTGACTTGGCAGTTAAGTGTCTGGTTGAGTCCAGTACATCTGAAGTCAGGTTTGAGCCACATGTTAGCTAAGTGACCTGGAGAAGTCATTTCATGTTTCTGAGTGGGAAAAGCTGAATGATATATGTGCATACACTGCACTCAGCACAGTACCTAAGCATAGGAGAAGAGAAATAAATAATGTTTGTTATTACTTCATGTCCGATCCAGAACACCAGAGATCTGGGAACCAGGCTTCTAACCTCATTCATCCTTAATTAACCAACCAGCAACTATCAAAAAACCCTTTGGTTCCTAAAACACTGGGCTGTAAATTCAAAGGAAGAATTCAAGTGAAAATATTATGAACTTGATAACAGGTTTTTATAGGTTTTCCCCCCAAAAAAGATGGCAGTGGTAAATAGCAAAGGAACTCTTGTTCTATCACTTAACAAATGTTTTAATTGATTTGAGAGAGAGAAGGGAGAGGGAGAGAGAGAAACATCCATGTGAGAGCAAAGCATTGACCTGAGTTTTCATGTGTCTTTTTGTCCTGAACTACTAGACTGATGAAACACTTGAGGGTAAAAAGAATTCATTCATCTCCTTGGCACTGAGTACATCATTATGGAAACAGTGGGAATGCTATAAATATTTTCTGAATAGTCTTATAAGACCTTATATCTCATTAAAATAATTGCATCTTAAAGGAAATCCTATTGTAATGTTAACAAATGTAAATTAACTTTTAGTTCTAAATATTTTTTTATTTGAACTATAAGTGCAAAAAGAGAACAGATTATTTGCCCTAACTTGAATTGTTGTAAGATTACACATTGCACATCACTGGGCTTTTCCCTTGTCCCTTAGTATAGCTGTGTGTGTGGCCATGAGCCTCCCTGAGAGCATTTCCCAGCCACCCTCGTTGCTAGAGGTAGCCGATGGGATGTAAGTGAAAGCTGGATAGAGCATCTAGAAAAGTTATTTAAAGTCTTCTCCTGAGGTTGGAGATACAGCAGCCATGTTGTAACCCACACAATGGAATGCGGCTGGGCTGTGGACAGGAGGGAGACCTTGCCTTTGATGGCAGCATGGATGGATCTGGAGACGATTGTGCTGGATGGGGTGGGCCAGTCGGGGGGAGAGGTGCCATGTGATTTTGCTTATGTGTAAAGTCTAATGAATGGAATAAACTAACAAACAAAACAGAAACAGACTCATAGTTGTCAGAAGGGAGGGGTAAGGAGAGCTGGGTGAAAAAGGTGAAGGGATTAAACAAAACAAAACAAAATGACAGACAACAGTATGGTGATGACCAGTATGGACAATTCATGCACCAGTGGGGCCCCTTGGCCTGGCCTGTGGGATCAGGCGAAACCGGCTTTCCAACATCCCCTGAGGGGTCCCAGGTTGGGAGGGGGCACAGGCCAGGCTGAGGGATCCCACTGGTGCATGGTTGGGGCTGGGAGGGACGTGGGAGATTGGCCAGCCGTGAGTGACCACAGGAGGGCTCCAGGGCATGTCCAGCCCATCTCACTCAGTCCCCATCGGCTGGACCCCAGCAGCAAGCTAACCTATCAGTCGCAGTGTCTGCCCCCTGGTGGTCAGTGCACGTCATAGTGAGCGGTTGAGCAGCCTTAGCATACCATTAGCATATTACACTTTGATTGGTTGAACAGAAGACTGGATGACCAGACACTTAGCATATTAGGCTTTTATTATATAGGATGTAACCCCAATAAATTCACTAAAAAACAACAATACATATTCCCTTAAGAGCCTCTATCTCCTGACATGCAACTACAGGGCCCAAAGATAGCATCACAGGCAACTGCTGGGCCAGCCAATATCACAACAGGCAGCGACCTGGCACAGAGAGGGAAGGGAAATGACAATCTTTCACCTGGAGAGCAGTGTACATTAGGGAAGTCACTTTCAGCTACCTGCCCCCGACAATTACAAAGCACACAGGTAGTGCACCTTCTCTCTGACTTCCCTTTTTTAAAGATCTTTAATCTGTAATTATGCTGCTAGAGATTTCATACTAAATGAACCAAAAGTAGAGGTGGGTGAGAAACAGAATCCCAACTCTGCCACAGGTGTCCTCGTAGCTCCCAGAATCAGTATTGCTGCTTTATGAGAGCGCATTTTGTTTTTTTGTGAGATGAGAATAGTGTGCCTCTTCCCGTCTCCCCCGAAATGTGGGGGTAAATGAGGCCACGTACTTGAAGCACTTGAGCTTCAAGTAACTGCACCTGCGTCACAACAGCTCTGATGCTGGGCTGGGGCAGGATGACCAGCAAACAGCAAGCGCAGGAGGGCCACGCATAGAATTGACCTGACTCGGGAGTTCGTTAAGCTCATAAGAGAGCTGAGTTATGGTCACGTTTGCCAGATCCAATATAGATTATCTTTAAGTCTAAATATGACCCAGGGATTACATGGGACAAACTTACACTGAAAAATTATCTGCTGTTTATTTGAAGTTCAATTTTAACTGGGCATCCAGTATTATTTATTTTTTTTTTTTTTGCTAAATCTGGCAGACCTCGTTATAGTGGTACCCCTAAGGGGAAAAAGTTGGTTTAATTAATCACCTATTTATCTTATTTATGGAATTCTGATTTCTTGTATGTAATAGGAAATGTTTTAGCGACAAATGAAGGAATTATGAAGCATAACAGTATGAAAATGTGAGCATATGTGACTAGTAAATTATAAAAACATTCCCAACATTAGGAATCTCATCTTTTAAAAACTATCCCCGATTATTTTTGTGTTAATCATCACCCATAGATATTTTTCCATTGATTTGTATTTTATTTTGTTTTATTTTTAGAGAGAGTGGAAGGAGGGGGAGAGGAAGAGAAAGACACATCGACTGGATGCCTCCCACACTGGAGCCAGGGAAAGAGCCTGCCACTGAGATACATGCCTTGACCAGAATCAAACCCAAGACCCTTCAGTCCCAGGGCTGATTCTATATCCACTGGGCCAGACAGGCGAGGGCTCAGCTGTGCCCTGTTTAAAACAGGGGTGAGGTAGCACTCCTAATTAATAAGACAGGATATTATTACTACTATCAGAAAGAATAAAAATGTTCATTGACAATTAAGTACTATAAACTCAAAGACAAGTATTGCTAAAAAACACATAGCCCACAAGAATGTACAGTGGGGCCTTGACTTACGAATGTCCCGACTAATGAGTTTTTCGAGATACCAGCCATCTCTCAGCCGATTTTTTGCTTTGAGTTGCAAGCTAAAGTTCGGGTTATGAGCCAGCTTCAGATACCCCACCGTTAGTTGGCGCAGCGAACGTCACAGTGAATGCCACAACATCAGTGTCTCACTCATTCACTTTTTGATTTGACATACGAGTAATTTGAGTTACGAGCTCCGTCATGGAACGAATTAAACTCGTAAGTCAAGGCCCCACTGTAGAGGCAAAACAAACCAACCAACAAAAACATAAATAAAACAACACGTCCTTTTCTAAAGAGATAGCGTTTAGAAAAATAAAATGTTAAAGCATAGTTTCATGATAAATGACAGAGAAGACAAGCTCTCCCGCCCCCAAAATTTTTTTCATGTTCATGGAGCTCTTACTAAAATGTCCTCAATGAACTGCCGGAAACAGAGGGCCATGTTTGGAATCCAGGGCAAAGGTGAAAAGACCACTGGCCA